ATACTTATGGGCAAAATCTAAAAGTAGTGGGGCAATATTGCATGTTTTAATTTCCTTGACTACATTTATCACACAATTTCCCTAATCCAGAGCTGGCATAAATTGTTTTTGTTTGTTTGTTGCTACACAATATTCTAGTTACATGATATCTGTAAATAACTGAGTTTGTACCAGACAATCCAGTTATTGAGATCATAAACATCCACACATGCAATCATTGAGACTTGATGCTAGTCATCATTTACCTTGACAGTTTCATCTCATTAACAATATGTCATCAAAGAAGCTTCAGCTGCTTGGCCTTCTAACACAATGAGCAGATGACCCTTTGAAGCAAATAGTGAAGGGGGGACAACTCTAACTGCGAATTAGTTCAGCAAATATAATGTTATTGATGACAATGCATGGAATAACAAGTTCAAGCTGCTATGAAGGGCTCAGTGAATTTCCCATTTATATCAAGCTGACCAGGAAGGGGATTTTCAAAGGAACATTAAAGAAATGTTTTTGGATAATTTCTACACCATCATTTTTCTTCAAAGTTATAACTATAGCCTTCTGAGATGGGGCACAAACTCTCCCACTTTTATCATTCTGAAGTAATTATGCCTTGTATGTCTGGTGTCTGTTACAAACAGCTTCCATAGACAACACAGCCAATGATGAAAGCTATAAATGATCATTACTGGCAAATCTTATATGATAATAGCAGTAATATTAAACAACATTACTTGGAGGCTAAACATGTTGCAAAAAGGAGCCACTAACTGCTTAGGGGGCCATGTGAACTTTGGGGATGAGAACTTTAACTGGACCTTTAACTCAGCATTATCAGCATAGTATTATGTGTGATGGTGATGTTACTGAATACACCCTACCATTATAAATAATAGATCACCACTCTTTTTACAGTGTCATGAATGTGTACATGAACCTGTATATTTTTCGAGTATTTCATAAGAAATATTCTCTGAAAAGTATGACCAAGCAACATACCAATCTCTTATATACTCTCACAAATGGCATAACACAAATAACTTAAATCCCCAAAACAAACTTGAATTGTTATACATACATACCCATCAAGAATGGATGTAACATCATTAAAAAAATAATTATGACATAATTTAATTTTTCTTTTATTCCCGTTCTTACTTTAAAAAGAAACTATTTACTGTATTATTACATAAAACTACTGTGCAAAAATGGCTGGGCTGGCCGATATTTAGATACAACTTACTATATTTTTTACAAATATTAGCATAATTATTAAGCTATAAAATCAAAATCCAATACCATTCACATCATATATTTTCTGGTTCTATTTGTGGGCATACACATATATTGTTAAAAGGAATAATTAGCTATATTTTAAAATATCATTAGATATTGCAAGAAAAGTCATATTTCAAGTTGAGCAGTAACCATTTCTGGGAATGAATGAACCATTATGAATACAAAATGAATGAAAAACACCTGACACCTAAATTCAGCATCCACAACCAGGAACATCACTTATTTTAAGCCAGTAGAGTAATTAGAGTAAAGCGTATGAAAATGAATTCTATTTCGTTTCAGTTTCACGTTTCTACATTTTTTGCGTTGCTATATTTAGCTATTATGGCGGACATCGACTATGGAGCGCTGCCATTGGCATTTTTAGCAGTCAGTAGTTAAAATAAAGGACACGAGTTGTGCAGCTGATTTTGATCTTAATAATTGTTTGTCGATTAAATACATAGTTGACAGTAACACGTATAATTCTCCATATTAGTTATCCCAGTTCTGGTCGTATCCCAGTTCTGGTCGCAACAGGAGACGCCGGCCAGCTTTGGACCATGTTTGTGCCCACGGTATAAAAATAAGGCCTCACAAGGAATAGCGGCCATTGTATCCTGAGACACAAGAGCAGCATGAACCGCAAAGATGAAGAAGATTTTGTGTTTGTCTGTTTGCTGAAGGCATACATCGAGAAGGCCAGCATCAGCTGCAGAGAGGGAATACCATAGAACGCAACGTGCCGTATCTCGCCTGCCCTGTAAACCGTCACACGCCTGGATGCGTCGTGGTAGAACGGGACGAATCGGCTACCTAAGCTTGCCGTCTGAACAGGGTCAAAACGGGCAGCAAGGGTGAAACAACCGAGACTAAATGCCAAACAAACGTGGGCGAACGTGACAAAACTTGAAAGGACCATGAGATGCCGTGGAATACACATGCCTCCCGTCCCACTACGGATCGTATACTAGGTCGGTTACGGCTTATTACGTGCTGTCACGTCTTGTTACGTTCCCTCCGTTTTACTACGGCCCACTAGGTTTCACATTATTACCGTGACTGCCGTGGCAAAATTTAACAGTTTACAAATCTGGCACGGCATCCACGGCAATCACGGAATGTCACGTGAGCTCATTCAGTCACCCCTACGTTGTCTCACGTCCATCCTGTTTTGTCCCCGTTTTGGCTGCCGTGGCCGCCGGGAACATTGTGTAACCCGGATCTTCACGGGTCCATACACTGGCAGTTTACACAGCTACAGACATGGGACATAAGTATTCGTCAATCGGCAAAATTGTCATAGACTTGCATGCTATTTTACTGTAGCTGTAATAATTTTCATTAATTCAGTGTTTCGTTATTTGGTTGTCAAATTTGGCAGGTTGTTAGGAAATCATCTTAGTCACAGAAACATAATTTCCATGTAATGTTCCTTCATGTATTTTCTGCAGTGTAGTTACATGAGCTACATATACACAACATTGCGTATTCTTTTCCCATAGACCGCCATGTTAAAAATGTCATACCCATGACACGCATCAATCAAAGTGTGGTCATTCTTGAAATACTGAAAACTATGAACGAGATCAAACGACACATGACACAAGTGCAAACTATGAACGAGATCAAACGAAAAATAAATTATAGACAATTTTCTAGCTGCACCAAATTAACATGTAAGTCTATGGAAATGCTGTAAAAGTGACGAATACTTATGTCCAATGACTGTAGCTCATGAGTGGTGGCAATGTTCATACATGTAGTATTTTACTCTCACTGTGGCCAATCACCTATCAGTAAATTGATAGACCGCTACCAGCAAACAGACAGACCCAAGACCGCCCAAGATCGGGAACACCAAGAGTCACGGCACCGGCCGAAGATCGCTATATCCGGCAGATCCACCTCCGGAACAGATTCGTGACGGCGACGACAGCACTAGGATACGCCATCGGCAGACGAACAGACCTTGGTATGGCTGGTATACGAGCCTACCGTCTCTTTCGTGAAATAACCTACACCGTCCACGCACACTGCAATGGACACGAACGTTACTGGGAGTGTGAGTGCTCTTAAGACATGAAAGTCTGTTCAGCCTGTTCAGAAACGATAGCAGAGTTCGAGGTTTTCAACGTAGAGGAGAGCGACTGGCGCCAAACTGCGTTCAATAAGTTCATCCACTCGATTGAGCAGGCGTCATGGTACGGGGCGGCATTTGTGCCCAGAGGACAAAAAGAGGTTATCATCCGAGGAAACGCGAATGACCAGCGATACAGGGATGAAGTGTTGATACCTTATGCGGTGCCCTGTATTCGACAACAGCCACGAGGAGTCATTTTGCAGCAGGACAACGCAAAACCCCACACCGCCAGAATTGCTCGAGAATACCTGCACAGCGTTAACGTCAACGTGTTGTCTTGGCCAGTGCGTTCTCCATACATTAACCCCATTGAACACTTCTGGGATCATATGATCGTCTGCTGAGAGAGCGTGTACCTCCAGCGAACCGACAGTGACGTGTACAGACTCTCTTGGACTTATGGAGCAGGATTCCTGCTGTCGTCATCCACCGACTGACAACGTCAATAAGGCGTGTATGGATGCCCAGGGTGGTCACACTCGCTTCTCGCTACTGATGTCGTGTCCCATGACTCCTATCCTCTTATGTGACTCTTTATGCACTTTTTGAATGAACTTGATTTGTGTAATTGTAATTTTGACCCTTTGACACTTTCTTAATGAATTGCGGCAAATGCAAGAAAGCTTTACAATGAATTTTCAGTCAAATTATTGGAAAATGACTTCTGTTTGTAAAAGTTTTATCATAAATCTCACATACGTCTTTGTGTCGATTTTTTTTGTCAAGTGAAGACGGTGGTAACTTTCTTTGCCTGGTAGTTATACACTCGGAAATATGGCCATCTCAGCTATTTAGATTGAAGTCCCCACACACGCCATATTGATTGCCTGCTACATGAACTTTATGGCGACTATCAGTCTACACATAGCTGAATTACACATCACGGTATGACCATATGACACACGACTGGGGAGATTAAGGCATCAAACGGTGGAGAGTACTCCCCTTTAAATCATAACTCGCGTCGCACCCCGTTAAGAAACATGTGAGGAAGAGAAAACTGACAACAGAACTTCCGGTACAACACGAACTTAATTCATATGTGATATATACAACAACAACACAGTATAAAGTTACATGTAAAACAAACCGTTTAATACCCGGATAAGAAATTGAGACAGACAGGCAAGTGAGATAAGCGCAAGTAAAATCAAAACAACAAATCTCCATTAATTTGCGACAAGTTATGATGCAAATATTCATGACTGTATTTGATACTAAGATTGACTGACTGACTGACTGACTGAATTTGGTTTTACGCCGCTTTTAGCAATATTCCAGCAACACCACGGCGGGGGACACCAGAAATGGAGCTTCACAAATGGTACCCATGTATGGGATTCGAACCGGGTCTTCGGCGTGACGAGCCAACGCTTTAACCACTAGGCTACCCCAATCGCCCCGGCTATCGATGTAGAGCAAAGAGACCGATAACAGTTGTTTAGATATCGATCGATAATCGATAAATATCGGACACGTAACATTGAGCAAAAATGCAAAAATGTCTGAAAGAAATAAATACATTTCACACCACGTGTGTGCATGTGTTTATGTAGTAAGGACACGTGTTGACAGTGCAGTTCTAAGCGACCTTTACGCTGTATGATCCTACAATGGATCCGAGCTGGTCTGACTCCAGACTAAAGCTGGCCTCCCTCTTCCTTTGGCTGTTGGGAAAGACGGTGGGGGACATCTTGATAATCTTACTCCAGGTCTCCCCAGGACGAATCTTCCTGAAAGACACACGTATGGTCACCATGGTGAGGTTTGGTGGGAACAGATTTGGATGATGTCAAGTGAGGTGAGATTTGGTGAAATGAGATATGGTGAGGTGAATTAAGGTCGGACTGGGCGAGACGTGGTGAGTTACACGAGGCGACTTATAGTGATGGTTTTTGGTATGTGAATGACGAGATACAGGAAGGTTTGATCAGAACCCACTTGCACAGAACGATCTTAACGCTACAGTTATTGTAAACCCTTAAGAACGCGATCTTAGGCTTCGCTACTACAATCGCCATCCACTCTGCACAAAGCAATTGTAGCCTAATTACAATTAGGAGGTTCGATCTTAAATCCATGTCGTCTTACAATCGCGCTGAGCTCAGCTTTACAGAAGTGGATTAGGGAACGTTACGGTGATTGTAAAGTTGATTGTGAGGAGTCTAAGATCGATTGTAACTAAAGTTGTTCTGTGCAAGTGGGCCCAGAATGAATTTGGTGAGCTGAGGGATTGGTGAGTTCATATGAATTTGGATGACATTGGGGAGTTGAAGGTTATGGTAGAGGCTTGCTGGAATGAGATTTGGTGACGTCAAGTGAGTTTAAAGTTTGGTGGGGAGGCTTGGTGAGGTGATGGTTGAGTGAGTGAGTAGTGAGTGAGTGTAAAGAGTGAAGAGTTTAGTTTTACGCCGCTTTTAGCAATATTCAGCTATATCACGGCGGTGATGGTTAATTGAGATGACTATGAGGTTGGATGAAGTAGAAAATGATGAGATTAATGAAATGTGGCGAGGTGGGTAAAACACTGGCTTTTAATATTTCTTCACGAGAGCATAATAGCCAGCAACACTGTTTCAAATTGTAAAACCAATTTTCTCTGACGTCATCCATATTGTTATGCATTTATCATCTACACAACCACCACCACCGAGAGAGAAGGGGCGAAAACCTTCATAAATATATGAAAAAAAACACAAAATATTTTTCAGTGAACGGAATAGGTTATTTATAAAGTTATCAACGTTTGGAAATATGTAGATGTACCTTACTCTATTTTGTTGTCGAAGCAGGATACACCATTCTCATGTTGCCTTCAGTCTCCACGGTGCAGTTGGTAATCAGGACCCAGGGAAGCGGGTTGGTGAGGAGATGTCCACCTCTACTGTCTCCCCGGCTTTAACAGTGGAAGGACCCTATATAACACAGGACATGAGACGGTATAAGATACATATATATTGATGGGGAGCGGGTTGGTGAAGGAGATGTCCACCTCTACTGTCTCCCCAGCTTTAACAGTGGAAGGACTCTATATAACCCAGGGCATGAGACAGAATACTATACTTTAGGCAGGTTGGTGGAGATATCACCTCTACTATCTCCCTAGCTTTAACAGTGGAAAAGGACCCTATATAACACAGGACATGAGACAGAATATATACATATATATTGATGGGAGCCTTGGGTTGGTGAAGGAGATGTCCACCTCTACTGTCTAACACCATGAGCTTACATATATATTAACAGTGGAAGGAGACCCTATAGTGGAAAAACCTATATAACACAGACATGAGACAGTATATATAAACATATATATTGATGGGAGCAGGTTCGTGAAGGAGAATACTCTATATATAAAACAGGACATGAGACAGTATATATACATATATATTGATGGGGCGGGTTGGTGAAGGAGATGTCACACCTCTACTGTCTCCCAGCAACATGGAAGGACCTATATAACACAGGACATGAGGCAGTATATAAGTATATATATTGATGGGAGAGGTGGTGAAGAATCCACCTCTATGTCTCACCAGCTTCCCAACTGTCTAACACAGGACATGAGGCGAGGCTTTAACAGTGGAAGAGAGGACTGTCTCCCCGGCTTTAACAGTGGAAGGACTCTATATAACACAGGACATGAGACAGTATATATATATATATATATTTGATGGGAGCGGGTTGGTGAAGGAGCCCACGATGTCCACCATCAGATGTATACTGTCGGGTTGGTGAAGGAAGAGATCCCCTACTGGCTCCCAGGCTTTAACAGTGGAAGGACCTATATAACACAGGACATGAGACAGAATATATACATATATATTGATGAGAGCGGGTTGGTGAAGGGTTCACGTCTACTGTCTCCCAGCTTTAACAGTGGAAGGACTCTCTATATAACACAGGCCATCAGAATATATACATATATATTGATGGGAGCAGGTTGGTGAAGAAGAGAGATCCACCTCTACTGTCTCCCCAGTGGAAGGCTATATAACTTACAGGACATGAGACAGTGATGAGAGCGGGTTGGGAGGAGATGTCCACGTCCTAGCTTTAACAGTGGAAGGACTATATAACACAGGACATGAGACAGAATATATACATATATATTTGGGGCAGGTTGGTGAAGAGATCCACCTCTACTGTCTCCCAGGTAACAGTGGAAGGACCCTATATAACACAGGACATGAGACAGAAGATATATACACATATTGATGAGACTGAAGGAGATCTCCCTACTGTCTCCCCGGCTTTAACAGTGGAAAGGACCCTATATAACACAGGACATGAGACAGTATATAAACATATATATTGATGGGAGCGGGTTGGTGAAGGAGATGTCCACCTCTACTGTCTCCCCCGGCTTTTAACAGTGGAAGGACCCTATATAACACAGGACATGAGACAGTGCATATATACATATATTATTGATGGGGAGCGGGTTGGTGAAGGAGAGAGTCCACCTCTACTGTCTCCCGGCTTTAACAGTGGAAGGACCCTGTATAACACAGGACATGAGACAGTATATATAACATATATATTGATGGGAGCGGGTTGGTGAGGGTATCCATGTCTACTGTCTGAAGGAAAGGATACAGGTGAGGCAGTATATAAACACCTCTACTGTCTCCCCGGCTTTAACAGTGGAAGGACTCTATATAACACAGGACATGAGGCAGTATATAAACATATATATTGATGGGAGCGGGTTGGTGAAGGAGATGTCCACCTCTACTGTCTCCCAGGCTTTAACAGTGGAAGGACCCTATATAACACAGGACATGAGACAGTATATATATACATATATATTGATGGGAGCAGGTTGAGTGAAGGAGATGTCCACCTCTACTGTCTCCCCAGCTTTAACAGTGGAAGGACTCTATATAACACAGGACATGAGACAGAATATATACATATATATATTGATGGGAGCAGGTTGGTGAAGGAGATGTCCACTACCTCTACTGTCTTAGGTGCTGAAACTGTCTCTCCCCGGCTTTTAACAGTGGAAGGACCCTATATAACACAGGACATGAGACAGTATATAAACATATATATTGATGGGAGCAGGTTGGTGAAGGAGATGTCCACCTCTACTGTCTCCCCGGCTTTAACAGTGGAAGGACCCTATATAACACAGGACATGAGACAGAATATATACATATATATTGATGAGAGTGGGTTGGTGAAGGAGATGTCCACTGTCTCTCTACTGTCTCCCATGAGCTTTAGACAGTGGAAAGGACCTGCTGGAAGGATATAACACAGGACATGAGACAGTATATATACATATATATTGATGAAGGAGATGGTCTACTGTCTCCCCAGCTTTAACAGTGGGGACCTATATGGTGAAGGAGATTGAAGGAGTCCACCTCTACTGTCTCCCCGGCACCACAACAGTGGAAGGACCCTATATAACACAGGACATGAGACAGTATATATACATATATATTGATGGGAGCGGGTTGGTGAAGGAGAAGTCCCACCTCTACTGTCTCCCCAGCTTTTAACAGTGGAAGGACTCTATATAACACAGGACATGAGGCAGAATATATACATATATATTGATGAGAGAGAAGGAGATGTACTGTCTCCCCTTTCTTTAACAGTGAAGGAGATGTCCACATGAGACAGTATATACATATATATTGATGGAGACTGTCTCCACCCGTCTCCCTATTTTAACAGTGGAAGGACCTATATAACACAGGACATGAGACAGTATATATACATATATATTGATGAGAGCGGGTTGGTGAAGGAGATGTCCACCTCTACTGTCTCCCCGGCTTTAACAGTGGAAGGACCCTATATAACACAGGACATGAGGCAGTATATAAACATATATATTGATGGGAGCGGGTTGGTGAAGGAGATGTCCACGTCTACTGTCTCCCCGGCTTTAACAGTGGAAGGACCCTATATAACACAGGACATGAGACAGTATATATACATATATATTGATGGGAGCGGGTTGGTGAAGGAGATGTCCACCTCTACTGTCTCCCCGGCTTTAACAGTGGAAGGACCCTATATAACACAGGACATGAGACAGTATATATACATATATATTGATGGGAGCGGGTTGGTGAAGGAGATGTCCACGTCTACTGTCTCCTGGCTTTAACAGTGGAAGGACCCTATATAACACAGGACATGAGACAGTATATATACATATACATTGATGGGAGCGGGTTGGTGAAGGAGATGTCCACCTCTACTGTCTCCCTGGCTTTAACAGTGGAAGTTAAAATATGAAAATATAACACTCCAATAGACATTGGAATGTTCATTCTCATGCTTCAGAAATACCGTGTCAGTTTCTTATGACGACTGAATGAAGGAATAGAATTATATGATGATGAGGACATCGCATAGGAGGCCAAGCTACTGGTATGTATCCCTTTATTAGGAAACATAAACTAGATCAGGAGCAAGGAATATTGTTGACGTGTAAGCAAAACCTCCGTGTATATAGTCTCTTTATGTTTAGCTGAATAGGAGTATTTTTCTTTCTAACATTCTAACAGTCGTTATCTATTTGCCTCTAGTTAAAGTACACAATAGTTCCCCAGCATTCTAAGGATCCGGCCTGGAAGTCTCAGCTGAGTGTTATCGTGCCATTTGCATCCCAACCTGGGTGCAGATCGATGTCCGCGATGTTGATCACTGGATTATCTGGTCCAGATTCCATATACAGACCGCCGCCATATAGCTGAATATTGTTGAGTGCGCATCAAACAACAAACGTTATTTATTTGTCGTCCCAAGTAAAGCAATTCATATTCCTAGTATCTCTAATGTTTGCCGGATGGATCTGTCTGGAAGACTCGACTGAGCGTATGGCGGATGTTGCTTCGTTATATCAACCATTGGTTTGTCTGGTCCTGATTCGGCTCCCTCCATACCTGGATTACCGGACGACTATATCACATGGAATATCATTAGCTTAACATTCAGCCAGGATTGCTCCTTTGTAGACAAAAAGCAAACAAAACACACACGCACGTACGCACGTACACACGCACACAAAACAATTAAACAACGTAAATCATTGCTCCCTTCTGAAGTTCAACAAGAAGGATTGTACCTTTCAGACAAAACACAAACACACAACAATGCTCTTTGTGCCAACCACTGCTTAAAAACCTTGCTCCCTTGTCAAATCACAGTACAGATCGTTCTCCCTACCTGTAGTTAAGACCCCTGCGAAGACCCAGCACTGTCCGTACTTGACCGGTCTTCCGGTGGACATGTACTGCTTTAGGATCCTCACACTCCCCGTCCATGAAGTTGGTCTGGTGCCACCGGCGTAGCTGTCGCTCCAGTTGCCTGTAACAACGCCGTTGTCGTCGTCGGCGTTCACCTGGCAAAGACCACAATTAGTATGTTCCTTCTGGCGAATGTCTTCAAAACGAAAGGCTGATAAGTGACTGTATGAACATTATTTTAAATTTTCGCTGCAATCAGCATTATGTAAACGGCGTGTGAACAGACAGATTTTGGTTGCTCAACCGGAGCATGGGCTTACGATCTTTGACAGAATCCTGGCCACCTTGGTCGCATTCCCCATAGCGCGGGTCATCTTGAAGTCGAAGCCCTTCCTGACGAGGTGTAGAGCGGCGTCCAGGATGCCGTCCTCAAACTAAATAAGTGGTCGACAAAAATAATGATGATGACAATAACTATAAAAGTAATAATAAAAGGAAACTGAAAACGCCGACGCCGACGTTGATGATGTTGATGATGATGATGATGATGGTGATGATGATGATGATGATGATGACGACGACGACGATGATGATGAAGATAATGATGATAACAACAACTACAAAAGTAATAATAAAAGGAAAAATGACTACGGCAACGACGACGACGATGTTCAAATGAAATGTTTCTTCTCATGATGATAGTTTAATTTATTTTAAACCTAATGCAGCAAAGTTACCAAAACTATTCACAGTGAAACACGGTTTATATCAATAAATAATGCAATAATAATTAAGTAAGGACTGCTCCGACCTGGCCGTAGTACCAGCTACTGCCTGCCATCTTATCGAATGTCCCAGTGTACACCACTCCCGTGTCATTCTCCACCGCTTCCGCGATCCACTTCTGGTCAGAGAGGTATGCGACATCCTCTGTAAGCAGAGGTAAAAATTAGTGAGTAGTTGTTACTTTACGCCGTAGCAGAATCTCACCTACTTGAATGGAATATAAATTATTCGGCGCTGGCGCAGTTTCTTTTTAAGGTTTGTAAGCTAAACCAGTCCCGTTCCACACATCAATTAGCAGGAGGGTTTTTAACGTCATTGTATGAGAGATACCATCACTCTCTTGATTGGGACCCGTGAACGATGTAAGCATGGGCAGTAAATCTCATTTGGCTGTTCTTTGATAGACCATGAAACTAGCTTCAAGGCGCATCGTCGTTTACCATTTAAGACCGAGAGCTCTCTCTAATTAAGCTTACAAGCGAGTAACATTTTTATTACCCACGTGGTCAGCGTGTATGGGTAGTTGCATACTAATCTCGTACGATTAATTCAATTGACATTTGGCTTGACATTAATTCCATACGGTCTTTGTATCACATCACGTTATTGCATCTCGAACGATGCCTGTCGCCACTGTGCCATTAACAAGGCAGTGTGAGTGGCTAAAGAGAAAGCTACGTACGATTATTTATCTGACGTCATTACTCACACATAAATACCGCTTTGTGATTGGCCGAGAGCTCCTCTATTATTTCTATGTATCCTCAGCTATGTTACAAGCGAGTAACATTTTCTGTATGTAATGAGACCCGAGTGTAGTATTCTCTATCTATGCTCTTTACCCGCTGGGAATGCCGAACTGTGGGAATTTATTTGGTACTTCGTGTTAGTAAGTCTCTATCTCGAATTATTGAGTCACGTATGATGCAGCATCGGGGCTCAGTTAGTCAAAAGGGCCAAAGGACAAAGGGCCAAAGGAAAGTCATCCTAGGTATACATTTGCCATGCCTCAAACAGTTCTTCCTGGTCCTTCTTTGCTGAGTTGTCTGACTAGTGTCTGACTAGTGTCTGACACCCATGACTCTGTTTAAACCTCGTGTAATCATTACAGAAACAGTTGTATGGTTGACTATACTCATAACATAAACACTTAACCACTGCTGTTAATCTTGTTTAGATTACTGACTACTTGTAATCATTACACAAACAGTTGTATGGTTTTAATTAAACACCTTACCGCTCTGAGACACTCTGATATGTTTAGGACGTTTAGCTTTAGAACTACTGCAACATGTAAAGAATTTCCTTTAATCTTACTATTTTCTAAAAGTTTGGCCCTTTTGACTTAAGTCTATGGCCCTTTTGACTTTCCGTTGGCCCTTTGACTTAATCCTTTGGCCCTTTTGACTTTTTCAATTTTGGCCCTTTTGTCCTTTGGCCCTTTTGACCTGTTCCCATGCAAATCGAAGGAAGGGAGATAAGAGAATCATTCGTCACCACTCGCCCCTTTCCGTAAATTCCAAGCTTGTCCCGGAATGACACGAGTTAGTCACGAATGAACTCTAAATTTGTTTTTCTCGTCGTCTGGTAGATTCAATGTCATCTGAAAATCTGGTATTGGCTAATTGCCTATATGTGGTACTCTTTATTATGATCCGATACACGTGCTTCAAACAGTTCAAAATTAACATTAAGGTGTTCGGTAAGTTAATACGTTGTTCACTGGTCCTTCGGGGCCCATGGGTTAATGTACCCTCGATGTTTGTTCACAAATAGAGGGTACATCAACCCATGTCACCCGAGCGACCAGTGAACAACCTGTAATATAGTATGAGTCTTCATATCCCACGAACACTAATCCTTTGAGATACCGAACTAGTGCTTTAAACATTTACTAACTAGTTCGGCAGGGTTCAGCACAGGAAAGAAATAATTTCATGTATGTTGAGCCTTATCATTCCAAATATTACACTCGAAGTCACAATATATGCTCTGGCTGGAAGGACTGTATTTTATTGTCTTGTCGCTGTAATAACTCACTCGGCAATAGTCCAACTATTTGTGGTCGGTCTGTAAATACCGAATTCTGGATCAGGCAATCCATTGATTGACATGCATCAGCGGTATGTTTGAAATTGAACCCTTAACATATGACATCATGTAAAAACATTATTTTAGTTTTCACAATCAGTGGATTTCGGATTACAGCAGATCTCTCCTGCACCGATCTTTGTCGGAAGTCGAATTATGGCTACTAAATGTGTGCCATTATACACCGATAGTAGGTAAGACATGATACGAGGGGCTATCAAAAGGTTTTGAGCCTAAAATACTTCTGATAAAAATAACTGTATGATATTGAAGAATGGTTCATATCATTTCGTCAGCATTCAAGATGCACGGGTCCACTACAGTAAGAGATAGAGATCACTGCCAGGCAAATATGTATCTCACGACAAATGGTACCTGACAGACACGAGTACAGTAATCTGTTTTTACACACCATAAAGTCGCACCATTTGAGGGTAGAATAGATTCAAATTTTATATTTTGTAATCATCGATCAGGTAAATAGTCCGTCATGATCTGACCAAAGATCGTCACCATGGAGTAGCCAATCACGTGTATCGAATTAGACCCCATAGTTACGTTTAATATCGGTTTTCTCACATGTATGTTTGAGAACCCACGGGTGTGTAAGAATATTTTCTCCCCACCCAGGTTGATACATACTTGCATCTCTATTGACCTTTTGTCGGGGTCAGATACTATCACAATTAGAGTGTGGTAATTGTAGATGTCACAGTGGTACATATTCAACACCGGAAGTAATTCAGGTAAATCGATATATTTATCTATTGACATTTATGCCTTGTTAGCCTATTTTAGACGCCTAAAAGATACATACTAAACCAGTATGGGAACTACATATGCACTGATAAAATAATATAAAGCAAACTGTCTAGTTGTGTCGGCGTCAAAGGTTTTAAACAACAAGTATGTAACGTAAAGAACATCGAAAGCATGAAGTTTTTAGTAAAAATAACTAAAATTGTAACTGTGAGTGAGTGAGTGAGATGGGTTTAACGCCGCCTTCAACAGTATCCGACTTATACTAATACCTGTTAGGATGGAAAGACCAACGTAGAGCAGGTCTCTGTCGATAACAACTTTGGTCAACCCAGGAACACGGGTATGTTGCTGGCAAAAACACACGTTATAGGGGGCGGTGGAGTAGCCTAATGGTTAAAGCGTCTCGGGTTCGATTCCCAACTTGGATAGAATGTGTGAAAGCCATCTTTGGTGTCCCCCTCTGTGAAATTGCTGGAATATTGCTAAAAGAAGCGGCGTAAAACCATACTCACTAACACGTTACAGAAAACAGAGAAAATCTATGAAATCCCCACAAGTGTTTGCGTTAACTGATTGTAATTATCAATGTAAGTTTATTCACCTTTACACCAAGGATTGAAGATTCGTATTTACCAGTATCAGCGTGTGGTTTAAAACACTCCTTGTCTGAATATTGTGTCTCACCTTTACACCAAGGATTAAAGATGATGTTGATATCTTCGTTGTGGTTGTACTGCCAGATGAGGTCTTTGCCGTTCTCGACGTCCACGGTGGTCCTGACAATCAAATCCCAAACACCGACAGGGGTAGAAGCAGGGGAGAACACTTCTACTGTGAGAGAGTTACCTCCCTTTTTGGCGATGATGGCGCCCCATCTCCGTGGCTTATAAGACGTGTCCCTACCCTCTCCGACCTTGATGGTCTCTTTGACGGTGCTGTTGTTCTCGTGAGACGCTGCAACATTAACGTGATAGAGAACCTGATACCATCGGTAGCAATACTCCGCCCCACTGAAACGGTTGGTTGGTATACTTCTAATGCCGCAATCAGAAATAATATAGTATATGGTGGCGGTATGTAAATAATCGAGTCTGGATCAAACAATCCAATGTTCAACAGCATGAGCATCGATCTACGCAATTCGGGAACGATGAGATGCGTCAACCAAGTCAACAAGGTTGACCAAGCAGGGGTTGCTAAGGTCAGTTCTAACCTAGATCTTCAAACATTTATACCAGCTATATACCACATGGGACTGTCATCCTGTGGGATATGCAAACATCCACATTATAAGCTTCTCTAAACTCGACATTGGTCAGTATGCTTTGGGCAAATATGCACTTGAACAGGTCTTGTACTGCAGTTGCCATATCCCATTTGGTACCCGGATTCAGAGTCGATCCCCGTAAGGTGGTATACAGGAAACAAATGTCATCGCATTTGATATACATGTACATTTATAAATATACGCATGTGGGAAACATTCCTGTATATGTTCTATTGTATTTCGAGATATATTACGTAATTTTAATGCTATTCGCACCCAGGGACGTGTTCTGTCGATGTTCGTGTTTATATACAGTATAGTATGACAAGAAATCATTGAGAATTTTAGGAATATGTTTAATTGCATTTCTAGTATAAACAACCTTGACCAGGTATCAAGTGCTTGGTTTCATTCAGGAGAGACAACTCCGTTAATCCTTTTTCATTAGTTTGTGAAGAGTTATCCCCCTTTGTTTACTTGCTAGCAGACGACATTTTCAGTGATCCTCAGTATGGATGATTTAGAGAAGAGGAAGTTGATTTTAGAGTATTATAACAAGGACATCAGATCAGCTAAAGTGATTTCAGGTAGAACAGGCATCCCTTTGTCCACTGTTTATCGTGTTTTGAAAAAATATTGCAAATGGATATGGCATTGAGCACCAGGGAGGCGCAGGTAGGCCCAGAAAATTGACGGTCGGTGACAGGAGGCGGCTTGGTATTCTTGTTTCTAAAAACAAACGAAGGAGTTTAGAAAACTTAAGGCTGGATATGATTGATAGAGGAACTGTGGCTGTCTGTAAGGAGACAATTAGAACTGAGCTGCATGCAATGGGTTGGCAGAAAAGTCGAGGAATTCCATCACCAATCATGAAACCTGAACAAAAGGAGCGAAGGTTGAACTGGTGCTTACAGCATAGAAATTTTGACTGGGACAATGTGATTTTCTCAGATGAAAGTTCTGTGTGGCTGTTTCTAATACACTGAAATTCTGGACCAAACAATTCTGTACCTAAGCGCCCAAAGTACAGTCCGAAATTTAACGTGTGGGGTGGCATATCTGTGTTAGGGGCAACGCCCTCTGTGTGTTTTGAAGGGAATATGAACAGTGAGCGGTACATTGATATTCTCGAGGGGCATTTACTTCCATCTGACGTGTTCTTTTTTGATTTTCCAGCAGGACAACGACCCAAAACATCGTTCAAAGCATATCACAGGCCTGGTTTCGGACCCAAAATATGACATTATTAGATTGGCCAAGCTATAGCCCTGACCTAAATCCAACAGAAAATGTTTGAGGACTTATGAAGGAAAGTGTCAATAAGAACAATCTGACAAATATTGCTGAAATGAAAGAAGAGGTGGTCCGATATTGGGACAGCATGGACCACGACTTAACTTCTTTGATCAGTAGTATGCCCCGCCGTATTGAAGCCTGCATTGCTGCCCATGGTGACTTTACAAAATACTAACTGTTCACCTGTCTTTGAATCTGGAGTTATGTTCTGCTCATATTCGTTGGGGAACGGTGGTGCACCCTTCTTTGTGAAACCATGCTGAATGAGCTATTCGAGCCTAACTAGCACGGACTAGTCATGATGTATAAACCGCAGAGCTGTACAGCTCGGGATATGCTAATATTTCAAGGATCTTAACAGGAACGAGCATATCAAGCGGATCCTCACAGCGTCAGGGTGGAGGACTCTGCACAACATACTGACATACATTAAACTAAAGGCTAGACGTGTACATATATTTGTAAGTGTCGATTGGTGTGAAGTATACTTACCTAAGCTCAACATGAGCGTGATGTCGTTCTTGTCGATGTCGTAAGGTCTGTCGAAGGTGATGGTGAGGAGGAAGGGCTGACCTCTTCTGACCACCAACTCTGATTCCTTATGACCCCTGACCTCTGTGCACTCATACATGTCAGTGTGGTGCTGCTTGGTGTTCTCCGATATGTTAAGGTCAAGGTTGGTCACGTGCAGTTTCGTTGACAGATCAGTTTCTGGCACTTCCGGTTGTTCATTTTCGTTTTCGTCGCTGTCTGTTTCAGAAACACTAAATGGTAAAATCATTATTTCGGCCTTCATTTGAAACAGAATTGGAGAAAAGATATAATTGCTATTGTGTGACTTTCCCATGGCTTCCCTTATTAAGATGGGTTTGAACAGGATACAAATATTCACACTGGAAATAGTCATTTAATAATTCAGCGAGGGGTGTGGAGGTCGTGTTTGATGTGTGAGGTATTTCATTAGCGACAGAATATGTTTACAGTCTACTTTTCATCATACAGGATATTCCGTATGGCAAATATGTCAGAAAATGAAATCCATTCTATACCAGGCCATACTACACCACGACCCTAAATACTAAATGGTCCGACTATGACAACTCGTACACAAAATTGACCCTCATGTTTTTGTCAAAGGGTTGACAATGTTGTGTCTAAATTGAGACCATAAAATCTGATGACACCACACTCTACATATACCTGCCATAACGCCGCACTCAGCAGTATTCCAGCTATATGACGCGGTCTGTAAGTAATCGAGTCTGGACCAGACAATCCAGTGATCTGCAGCACGAGTATCTATCTAGGCAATTAGGAACCGATGACATGCGTCAACCAAGTCAGCGAGCCTGACCACCCGACCTCGTTAATACCCTCTTATGACAAGCTGAATTGGGTTACGGAAAATCAATTCAAACTGGTATCTTCACACAATTCTACCTGTGTCGTTTTGGTGGTATTTACAAATGAAATTGATTTTAACTTGTAGCGTCAGGGTATGTGAAGGCATGGCCAGTTCAGTATGAAGAAAAGCACTTGTATTTAAAACATAAACTTCTCAACAGCTATTACAAGACAAATGTTATGGATAACAATTTCTTGATTACTCACGACGTTTCTGGGGTAGTTCTTGCCCTATCTTCAAGTAGAAACAAATAAAGAAGTTGTTATCCATGATATTTATCTTGTATCATTACACCAACTTCTAAATGCCGTTGCAGAATTTCTCAACAGCTATTTTGACCTGACCCACCATTGCCGGTGACAATGTGTTCTCTCTCCCTCCTGGGTTCTCTCAACCGTTCCCGGAAGAGACTGTCGCGTTCCTCCACCGTGGGCCTCGTTCGTCTGTTGGAGTACCATGGACGACTGGATCTGTAATGCGCCATCCTGCTGACAAACAGGTCAACTGTGCTGCTTTATTTGGGAGTATAACTTCTTCAGTACATATTCTCAGGAAGGTGAGGTGAGGTGAGGTGAGGTGAGATGAGGGGGTTTAACCGTCGCACTTAAGAATATTTCGCTCATATGACGACGTGCATGCGTGTGTATGTGCGGCTGCTTGTACTAGCCCAGACTTAAGCTGGTTTTATAGTGCTAGTCCACTGAGATACCATGTTGCAGTTAAACATGAACACCCACTCAGACACATTATACTGACTCCGAGCCGACCAGTCCTTGTTGTACCGATTAATGCCGAGCGCCAGCCAGGGACCAACAAGTACTATGATATAACGTCTTTTGGTATGACGCTGCTGGGGATCGAACCCGAGACCTTCCGCTCTCCGGGCGGACGCACTAACCACTACACCACGGAGGCGGTCTTCTCAGTTTAGTTTTACGCCGCACTCCAGCAGTATACCAGCTATATGACGCGGTCTGTAAATAATCGAGCCTGGACCAGACAATCCAGTGATCAACAACAAGAGCATCGACCTGCGCAATTGGAAACCGATGACATGTGTCAACCAAGTCAGCGAGTCTGACCAACCGATCCCGTTAGTCGCCTCTTTCGACAAGCATGGGTTACTGAAGATCAATATTCAAACCCAGACTCAGCCCAGAACAGACAAGAGTGGCGATCCTTTGTTGCTGCCCTACACGCCGAAGCACGTAATTGGGATAAGTAAGTAAGTACGGACCGATGGTAATGTCATCCGTGTAACTGTCAGGATGTATTAACTCCAAATTAAACTCTGAGTGAGAGCGTAAGCTTGGTTTAACGCAGTCTAACGCCTAACATCAGGGTATGAAATGCCAGGCAGTCACCAGTATCCACATCCACAAACTAAACACATCAGGCTAGGGATTGCAGGCTAGATGTCGATGTTTAGTTGTCTATCAACATTCTGTAAATAACTGATCGTGCATCTTCGAATCAGCATCTAGTTAAGCTATATACACATCATCTACACCGTATTCCCTTTTGTGGACGTTGTTGTCTTGGTGACATGTCGAAAACACCAGATGCAGCGTTCTTGTGAGCAAATGCATCAACTTCTGAAAGCGCCAAACTTGTTATGAATAATTATCCCGTGTTATCTGCTTTAATCCAGAGGGGAAAAGTCACATAGTATTAGAAATGGAAATCTTTGATTTTTGGCGGCCATCTTGGACTCAATGTTGGATTTTTCGGAAAATAGGTCCCAAAATTGGGCACATCCCCAAAAATATGTTTTATCATAATATTCGCCAGCACTTTGCGAAGGTTCATGCGTTAATCCGACAAGATACGATATTTACCCTTAGCCACCTGACTATTGGCAATGACCTAGTTATTTAAGCTCAAAGCAGTTGTGGCCCTTCACAGTGACAGGATAGGTGTTTAATGGTTGCAGCAGCATCCAACAACTTCATAACTTGTGTGTGTGAGTGAGTGTATGTGTGATGGGGATGTAGCTGGTGAATAAGAGTTCTCTAACTAAATCGTATACATATACTTGTCTATCGCACTATTTGGCTATACTTCCCTTGGCAGTTTCCAGCCTTAAGGCCAGAACAACAGACTGAATGTCCATTTTTGATGATCTTGATTTCTAAAGTGCCTAGCATCCATCGACAGATGGTCAACTGGCGCTGTTACCAGTGTGCATTGTTACTGGCCATTCACGCTTATGCTTGCGCTGTGGATAATGTTGTCTTAGCACATGTCAATTTTCCTAGTCATTGATAACATAGATCTTCTCATTTGTACATTTTTTAATTATATCATGCCTTTTTCCTGGTAGTATATAATTTTATGCAAATCCCCATGAAACTGGATTTGCACATAGAATTTGAATACATATTATACATTCTATCTCTATCCGACTGATGGCTTGATGGCGTGCACCAGATCTATGTTAAAATTCTAAACATTTAAACGTGTACAAATTCTAAATGTTTAAGCTTTAAACGTTTTGAAATTTTTAAACATGTTTGAATTTAAGTTATAAACATGTTATATTATGAGGACGTTCTGGTTTGATGACTTTAGGCCAAGATGCGGAATCCGGATTCTTGTGTTTAAACCCAACTCATGTTTACATGGACACAACAAATCCAAAATACAAGTTTACAATGTAGATTAGCCCAGATTATGTGTTTGGGTATGACATCACCAAGGCAACGATCGATTGCATAATGACAATTCCGAATATGGCATCGCGATTGAAACCCCATGACACAACTGAAGTACTACTTTCCGAAAGAAGAGTCTAACAACGCCCGCGCCAGGAAGCCATTGTCGTGCTGAGACGACTGTAACTTTCATAGTTTAGCATCGGTTGGCGTGGTGGGCGAGCTGGCTAAGGCGCCAGGCTAGTGATCCAGCGAGGTGGAGGTGTCGGGATCGAGCCCACCTGTGACCGGGTGTGAAAACCTTGGAGTCAACCTTGTGTGCAGACTCTTTCAGTGTTGTCACAACCCTGTGCACTTAAAAGAATCCACGAATCCGTTGGTACATGACCAGATGGTGGCCACATAAATACGTCCAAACACCTAGTTGCGGGTACAGCAACGTGCAGTGAACTTGTACAAAACACTGTGACTATGTGTCCCAGTTCACCCAGCTGTGAATGGGTACCTCGTTAGGATGAGAAAGCCACAATAACTCGGTGCGCCTAGTGGCTGTAAGAGTTGTATACTCGCCAGGGAGTTGAGATTGATAATACGATGTGCCATTGAGGTTGACATCCAATGATCGGGGGAAAAAAATATCAACGCCTTGAGCAAGCTAGTTGCCTGGATATGTGCGCTATATAAGTATCCTATAATAATATAGTAATCATCAACAGCACTGGAGGGTTAAAATTACGTATTTGGGGGGTTTGGCTGTGAAATACAGCAGTACACAAAGAGATGTGTAATCAAGTCAGCTATTTGTGCTTCGGATTTATAGCATCTGTAAATTTTATTTCTTTTAAACCGACAGCATGTATTTGTCTTTTACCTTAAACTGGAGTTTTCGGTACTTATCATCGTCGTTGGTGGTGGATTTAGGCTAAGTGTCTGACGCCGTTCCAGTCAGTAGTTCATGCCGGATTTGCAACACTAAACCGGGGCGGTGGGGTAGCCTGGTGGTTAAAGCGTTCGCTCGTCACGCCGAAGGCCCGGGTTTGATTCCCCACATGGGTACAATGTGTGAAGACATTTCTGGTGTCCCCCGCCGTGATACTGCTGGAATATTGCTAAAAACGACGTAAAACCCAACTCGCTGTAACACGAAACCAGTGAATTATCACGTCACAGTCGATCACATGTACGTCTCTCAGACAGTACATTCACTTCGTACAGACCAGTCCTTGTTTTAATCCGAGCACAAGGCTGGGTAACAACGAGCAGTTCGCCGTAGTTTACTACGAAGTGACACCTCACCAACCACAATTAGGTAAATGTATATCCCAAATGCAGTGAGTGGTTGAGTTTAGTGTTACGCCGCTTTTAGCAATATTCCATCTCATATACCATTCCAGCGATCACCACAATTAGGGATCAGACAAGAATAGGTCCCCAACCACTTATGGTAGAGCGGCTAAACAGATGAATTTTGCATTTTTTGATAAAAGCGTAAAACTTTGCACATTCAGTGACTGATGCATCGTGAACATTTTCAAATATGGAGGCACTAAAATAGTTTCATTTTGCGCACGCGCAGGTTTTCTTTGGTTGTTATTAACGCCGCACCCGGCAACATTCCTGTTTCCTATATGAAAGCGGTCTGTAAATAATCGACTCTGGACAAGACAATCAAGTGATCGACAGCATGTGTATCGATCTACGACGCTGATATACTGTACAAACAGTAAAAAACGTCTCAAGAGGACTGGAAGAGATCACTCAGAGTAATATTTAGCAAAGAGGTGGGTTTTTAACTGGGACTTGAAAGAGACAATAGTTAGCGAATTCTTTATGACAGGAGGGAGAGTGTTCCAAAGTATTGGGGCTGATGCACTGAAAGCCTTTTCACCCAAGAGTTTCAGTTTAGTTCTTGGAACAAACAGGAGATGTTGGTGGTCTGACCGGAGGTTTCTTGGGGCCATGTGATCTAAGATTAGTTCACTGAGATATGCTGGAGCTAGGTCATGCTGACATCTATAAGCAAGACATAATGTTTTGAAATGGATCCTTGCCTCTACGGGCAACCAGTGAAGGTCTTTCAGAACTGGGGTGATGTGTGACCGTTTGGACGTCCTGGTGACAATTCTTGCTGCAGTATTTTGGATTTTGTGAAGGCGTGTAAGGAGCTCGTGGTTGATGCCATAGCGGAGACTGTTACAATAATCTAGTCTAGACTTGATTAAGGCCTGAATCAGAGTTCTGGTAGCATCAGTTGTTAGGAGATAGCGAATGTGCCCAATGGCCCGTAAGTGGAAGTAGCAAGTTTTGCATAGGTAGTCCACATGTGCATCCATAGTGAGGCAGGAGTCAATAAATACACCAAGGCTCTTCACACTAGCGGAAACCTTAATGTTAGAGTCAACAACAGTTATTTCATTGCAATCCAGTTTGTGAAGACGCTGTTTTGTGCCAATGAGTATGGCTTCGCCATTCAGCTTTAAATCATTGTTTGACATCCATGCTTTTACATGTTGAGTGCAGAGGGTTGTACGGGTAAGGGAAGTCAATAGATGTTGGGTTTTGAAACTGTCCATCAATTGTGTGTCATCAGCATAGGTATGGTGATTCAATCCGTGTTGATCTATGATGTGCCCAAGACTGTTTGTGTATAACACAAACAACACAGGGCCAAGGACTGACCCTTGAGGGACTCCACAGTCCAAACTGACACTGTCAGAGACTTCATCATTTATGATGACTGCTTGTTGTTAAGACAGGATGTGATCCATGACAGCTGTGTCTCGGCAATGTGGAACTGGTCATGGAGTCGAGTGATGAGTTTGTCATGATT